ATTACTGAAGATTCCCCCCCCCCCAGATAAATATTTGCAAACACATAACTAAATATTTTAGGGAATGAACCAAATTATAAACATAGTCACTTAAGTTTCATATATACCTTATACAAACAGCCTGAAGGCAATTTATATAATGTCTCTTTATGTACCGGTATTTTGTATGCTAGCACCTGAGTAACAGTTAGAATTTTCCACTTCAGTATCATATGGGGGGGCATCGTATCAAAAAGTTGAAGATTTTGGTCTTTTGGATTAGGGAATGGTTATGTATCTGATTAGAAAAAAGTCATAGAAACAACCTAAAGAACTCTGAGCAAAGTCACTTGGAATACAAGCTAGTTAAAGTGCAGAGGCCAGTCCTGAGCCCAATCCATTCATTTTTACTAGTGTGAATTCAATATGGTCCTCTACTGCAAATCCAATTTGAATAAATGTACACTTACTATCATCAGTAAACCCCTCCTCCCACTCCCCTGGGCTTTGTGAAAACAGAAACATTACATAAGGGTTGTTAGTCAAAAATGTCACGATCCCTATCATGTGAGAAAATGACTATATTTTGGTTCATATAGATAAAATGGTCACATTTTCAACAGAGAAATTCTAACCTACATGAAGCCTTAAAACAGAAGGAACACAGTGCACTTAAATAATTTAAGAGATTCTATCTCACAAATGTGAATAGTGCTATGTGACCACTGCCCTTCCATTTTCTACCAAATGCACAATTTGAATGTGCCTACCACCGAACTTGATTTAGACTAATTCATTCAGCACACAATTCAAAAAGTTCTGACATACCTAACACACTCACAATATTAGGGTCACTGAAATATATGCTCTCAGAAAAAAATGCTTTCAGTGCTCAGGAGTAATTTCATTTACATGAGTGCCATTTCTGGGTTATGTTTTAAAATCTCCCAAAACATGACTAAAATTTAAACTAGGATTATGATTTAGAGGTAGAATAGAAATTATTATTCATTTAAATTATAGTGAAGACAGACACAAATCACTGTCAGAGAATAATGGTGAAAACAAATCTTGCCTAAGAGTCTTCATCTTATGGCTGAGGTCATTATTCAAGTTAAAACACCATCACTGCCTTTCAATATTCTGTTTCTGGAAAAAAGCCTTTCCAAATTCATATGTACTGATCATAATGGCACAAGCAGGAGCAATTTTAACTAAGCGAGGAATGAGGCCTGAAAAGAGAATAGAAAAAGAACAAATTTTTATCTTCATTAATAATGACCAAAATTAAATGAATTCATAAATCAAATTCTGTATCATAAATAGGTGGCAAAGAACAGATCAAACTACCCACTCTCAACCTCAACTTCGAATTTTACTTACTGATAATAAAGACAGTAACATTTACTTCAGCTTATATGAATGATATTTAGGAGAAAATAATGTTACCTCTCTAACTTCTTCCTACAAGTTAATTTTAGAAGGTAAGAGATTTAAAAGCAAGAATTTTTACCTGTAAATAACCCAGAAAGTCCATTTTTAGCAACAATGTTCTTCATTATAGTCCAGGTGGACATATGCAAAGGCACAGAAACTAAATATTAAAAGAAAAAAATGATATCATCATAAACCACAAGTTTCTATTATAGATCACACATAAATAATGGTGCTACTGCCTTTGGGAATTTCACATTTCATTATAAGAAGAACAGTTCTGTTTACCTAGAGATTTTCAATCTTTTCATTGTTGTTATATTCAAATATGGTCTCAATATATAGCCCAGCCTGGCCTGCAATTTGCTATATAGCCCAAGTTAGCCTCAAACTCACAATCGTCCTGACTCAGTCTCCCAAGTGCAGGATTTCAGGTGTGAGCCACCACACTCAAGCTCATTTTTTTTTTTTTTTTTTGGTTTTTTTGAGACAGGGTCTCCCTGTAGTCCCAGCTGACCTGAACTCACTATGTAGACTAGGTTGGCCTTGAACTTGCAAGGATCAGCCTGCCTCTGCCTCCCCAGTGCTGGGATTAAAGGCATGTGCCACCACCACGCCTGGCTCAAGTTCAAGTTTTCAAAAAATTGGCTTCACTAAAAAGAAGGCACCTCTAAGTTTAAACATGGATGTACCTGGATGCAACTGAGGAATACCTATGAGTTGATAGGGGTTGTTGCTTAGAATTGGTGGTATTACTGGTTATATGTTTTTCATGTCTCAGAATTCTTTCATAAGGCTACAGATATGGCTCAGCAGTTAAGAGTACTGGCTGTTCCTGCAGAGGACCTGAGTTTGGATCCCAGCCCCCACATGGTGGCTAACAACTGCCCCTTAGTTCACAGAATGTAAGAAGCAGGACATTTAAAAAGAAATCCTAGAAACAGGGACAGTATCATATGCACAGTGTGACTGACTGCTGACAAGGCTGAAGATTTCAGTCTTCGTTTGAGACCAGCTGGATAAGGAGCAACCAATCTGTCCTGCCACCTCTAGCCTTTGAGAAGTATAGAATAAAGTTTTATTTATCAATGTTTATATTGATGACAACCCTTGGCCACTGAGGTAGATTAAAGGATAAGCAAGTCTGGGCAAAAAGGGAAGAGTATAGGAAAATATTTTTTTTAAAAATGTCTTTTAAGGGGCTGAAGAGATGGCTCAGCAATTAAGAGCACTAGCTGCTCTTGCAGAGGACCCAGGTTCAATTCTCAGCACCCGCATGGTGGATAACAACTGTGTGTAACTCCAGTTCTGGCATTGCACAACACAGGTGCATTTACACACATGCAGGCAATATACTCATACACATAAAATAAAAATAATAAATTAAAAAATGTCTGTTATAGAATGACTGAACAGATAATGAAAATCCAAGACTTAACAATGTACCGACTAGAAAAAAACCTCACATCACCAGTAAAGAATCTCTCTCTCTCTCTCTCTCTCTCTCTCTCTCTCTCTCTCTCTCTCTCTCTCCAGGTTCTGGCCTCAAATTCTTGTTCTGGCTTCCCTCAAAGAGGGACTGTGATCTGGAAGTGTAAGATGAAATAAATCCTTTCCTCCCCATGTTACTTTTTATTCTGTTCATCACAGAAACAGAAACCCAACTAGGACAGGTTGGGTATTTACAAATAATGTTAGATACAAATAATGAAAACAGGGAGTGGGTTCTGACCTCCATTGATTTAGTGGCTCTGATCTCAGCAGACTGCCAGAGGATGCCGAGTTCTGGCCTCCCTCTGGCCTCCCTCTGGCAGAGGGCCTGAAAATGCAGGCAACTGCCTGAGAGGCCCCTGGACCTGCCTCCATGTGGTGGAGAGTTTCCCCTAATTGCGCCATACCCATCCCCCTACCTGGGATTTCATGAGGCCCCTCTCAGGGCCCCAGGGCAGATCTGGCTTTGGTAGGCTAAGGCTGAGATCCTAGCAGACAGCCTGAGAGGGTGGGTTTCAACCTCCATTGGTGCAACAGATCTGATCTCAGCAGACCACAGGAGACTGCCAAGTCCTGGCCTTCCTTTGGCATAGGGGCTGAGAACACAGGGGACTGCCTGAGAACGCGCAGATTCTGCCTCCATGTGCTGAAGGAAGCCTGAGTGTACCTGACTAGAACCTGCATTGGACTTCTGTGGGTACTCCTGAATAGCTGATCTGAAGCCATCAGGTCCCTCCAAATTAAACCTGAGAGAACCTGAACCCTGTACCAACCAACTTTACATAACCAAAAAAGAAGGGATCTAGGCACCCAGATAATACAAACAGAAGCATACTTCAACTTAATTCTCATATCAGAATAATAAACAACAAAAGAAATTCACATGCCAAAATCACAATGAAAGAATAAAAAAATGGAAAGCCAAAACACTGTCCCCATCAAACTACCAGTCCTGTAGAAGAGTTCTATGAGGAGAACCCCCTAGAGATAACCAGGACACTGAATTTAAAAGAACAATCATACACATGATCAAGGAATTCAATGATTTTAAGGAACACACGAACAAACAAATCAAATAACTAAAAGAAGACAGGGATAAACTGAATGAATTCATAAAAGAGAAACATTGAAAAACACTCAGGCTGAAATGAAGAAGGAAGTACAAAACTCAATAAACTAACTTGAAACAACAGGGGAATGCCTCAGTGCTAGAATGAATGAAACGGAAAACATAGGATCAGCGCTGGAGGATAAAGTTGAAGAATAGGACCACTCAAGCAAAGATTATGGAAAATTCTAAAAATCACAGGAATGGAATATGCAAGAGATGTGGGCACCATGAAAAGACCAAATCTACATATCATAGGAATAGAAGAAGGAGAAGAATTTCAGGTTAATGGTATTGACCACGTCTTAAACAGGATTGTAGAAGAGAATTTCCCAAAATTAAGGAAAGACATCCCCATACAAATACAGGAAACACATAGAACACAAAATAAGACAGGATCAGAAAAGAAACTCCCCACGACATATCATAGTAAAAACAGTAAATGTACAGAACAAAGAGAGAATACTGAAAGCAGCAAAAGAAAAACAAATCACAGACAAAGGAAAGCCCATCAGAATTACAGCTGACTTATCAATGCAAACTATGAAAGCCAGAAGAGCCTGGGCCAGGATATTTCCAGTTCCGCATGACAATAGATGTCAGCCCAGAATACTTTACCCAGCAAAAACGTCTATTATAGTTGAAGGAGAAAGAAAAATCTTCCTTGACATGAATAGCCCGAAAGAATACATGTCCACAAAACCAGCCCTTCAAGGTATACTTGAAGCAATACAGAGAGCAGTGAGAGAAACAACTATACCCTGAGGGCAACAAAAGACAATAAAGGTATAACCGAGAAAATACAAATATACACAGAGAACACAAACAGCAATCAAAATGACAGCAACCACCAACACATATCTTTCAACAATAACCATAAATATCAATGGACTGAACTCCCCAGTCAAAAGACACAGGCTGAGAGAATGGGTTAAGAAATAAAATCCATCTCTTTGCTGTCTGCAAGAAACCCATCTCACCTTCAAAGACAGGCACTACCTTAAGGTAAAAAGATGGAAAAGAATATTCCAAGCAAATGACACTAAGAAACAAGCAGGAGCTGCAATTTTAATATCTGACAAAATAGACTTCAAATTAATGCTACTCAGAAGAGATATGGAGGGTCACGTCTTTCTGATCAAAGGAACAATTAACCAAGAAGATATTACAATCCTTAACATATATGCACCAAACTTTGGTGGGCCCAAATTCGTAAAAACAATACTACAGGACTTTAAGACACAGATTAACCTCAACTCAGTAATAGTAGGGGACTTGAATACCCCACTGTCTCCATTAGACAGGTCAACTGGACAAAGAATAAACAGAGAGACATCTGAATTAAATAACACCATACATCAAATGGACCTAACAGACATCTTTTGAATATTCCACCAAAGAACCAAAGAATACACTTTCTACTCAGCATTTCATGGAACTTTTTCAAAAACTGACCACATACTGGACCACAAAATAAACCTCAACAAATTTAAAAACAAATTGAAATAATTCCATGCATTCTATTGACCACAATGCAATGAAGCTCAAAAGCAACACTGGACAAAGCCCTACTCACTACAGAACTCCTGCTGACTAAACAACACACTTCTAAACAATGAGTGGGGTCAAAGGAGAAATTGAGAAAGAAATAAAAGAATTCTGGGAATTCAATGAAAAGGACAGTACAACACAACACAACCTCTAGGATGCTTCAAAAGCAATCCTAAGAGGGAAGTTTAGAGCTCTAAGTGCCTACATTAAAAAATTAGAAAGAGCCCAAATAAATGACCTAACACTGCAACTCAAGACACTGGAAAGGCAAGAACAAATGAAACCCAAGCTCAGCATAAGAGAAGAAATAACAAAAATCAGGGCAGAAATTAATGAAATAGAAACAAAGAAAGCAATAAAAAGAATCAATGAATCTAAGAGCTGGTTCTTTGAAAAGCTAAACAAGATAGACAGATCCTTAGCCCAGTTAACCAAAAGAAAGAAAGAGCAAATCCAAATCAAGAAAATCAGAAATGAAAGGGGAAACATCACAACAGACACCAAAGAGATCCAGAACATTTTAAGGGAATATTTCAAAAACCTATATGCGGGGCTGGAGAGATGGCACAGCAGTTAAGAACACTGACTGCTCTTGCAGAGGACCCGGGTTTGATTCCCAGCACCCATA